ATATATATATATATATACTATATATTTACTGTACATGAAGACGTATCAGAGTCTAGAGGTAGAAAACAAGAGAGGCATTTTAATGTACCGAAGATCTCAAAAATTGAAGAGAGAAACTTGAAAGCGACTCATAGGATTCGGTCCCAGAACCAGTATGCTCCCTTCAAGGCAACAGTTGAGCCCATTGGGCTACAAGCTTGCCTGTATGTAGCTAAGTCGACAATGAGCTTTTGACTGAAGAGTTGCTTTTGGATGCCGGCTCCCTAGAGCTTCTCTCTTACGCACGTCATTGGTACACCATGCAACACAAGCTCTCTATTTTATGAACTGAAGAGCAATTACTGGGGCAACTCAGTGTGGAGGTTTTTCTGAGATTGGGTGGAAACTCATCTGCCGCGCCTGCCATGTAATAACAGTGTGTCTGTGGACCCAGCAGGAGTGATCCCAGGTACCCATCGAGAAGCATCGATGGATACCTGAGATCCCGCCTGCTGAATCCACTACTACTTCCGAGACAGTCAGCTAATCATGGTGGTATATTACGCATGGGGCAAAAGTACTTAAATGTGGGAAAACACCCTTTCCACAAAATAGTGCTAGCCCGGAACCACTTTCCCTCTGCCGCATGCTTGCCATTGCTCACTATCCAGTTCTAGCCGCGATCCTTAGTCGTTGTTAAGCGGCGCCTAAGCTATATTAAAGAAACCATTTTAACTATGTGTGACGTCTTCCATATTTGTACGCTTTCATTAGACTTTTAGTCTGGGGTGCGGTTTGTCAACCACCGTTAAATGAAGGCGGCTGGATCTGTAGTGCTCGAGGGTTTGGTGTGGCCACAGCACCTATTCACTATCTGCTGATTCCGCCAAAAGAAGAATTCTGTAGTTTTCAATCCTACCTTCAGTTTTTAAGCGCTATGAATGGCAAGTTACTAAAGGGAAGCGGCTTCGGACACGCAGAACAAGCTTCACGCTGAACTTGTCCTCCACAGGCTCGGATATGCTGCCACCCATTCCTCCGACAACTCCCAAATACCCCTTGTGCTGTCACCAGATCCATTCTGGTCACTTCGACTATCGCTTTTCTTAATTGACGACTGAGGACAACTGCAGATGCCGAAGACAGGAAATGGTGCTGCGCCTACTCCACCGATGCATATCAACCAGCACAGCCCTAGCGTCGATGCTATCGTACTACCCTCGGCTAAGGAGCTTTCCTTGTGGTCTCGCGAGACTACAAAGCCATATACGCCCCACACTAACGACTCTTCTTTGCATTTCAACGTGGATCGATGTAGGGGCCACGGTCGGTTCCACTGGCATCCTGTCACTCTTGCAGCCCTGGCGGCTGTTGCAACGACATATTTAGTGCTGATATGCGCTCAACATGTCGGGACCTTAAACAAGTCTGCACGATTGCGAAGAGCTCTATCCACCTCTGAGTATGCGGAGGAGGGCTCTTTGGGTTCCTGTGCATTCGAAGGTCAAGCGGAGTCTGCAGCTGTTGGTGTGGGAAACGAATTTCTTGGCAGAGAACAATTACTCGAGAGCGCCACAAGATTCACATTAGATTTAACCAAGACAATTCAAGGTAGTAGACATGCGTTGCTTTCCATGCCTAACTTCTTTTCTGTGAAGGTGTTCACGAACTTGTTGCGTTTTACTGTAGTGGAGCTGTCTGCCCTGTGTTCGTTGCTGGAGCCGAGCGAGCGGCACCATGTGAAGTCTGCAACAGTCGCTGTTTCTGAAGAAATCAAATTTTATTCTTCAATATTTACACGCAGGTCACTAACCCGCTCAAAAGTGCGTCACATCCTTTGTATGAAAGACTTTCTGCGGGAGTTGCCCGAACTGGACTTCGTGGGGAATTCAATGCCTCCCGTCGAGCATCTATCGAAACTTGCCCAGCTACTTACCCTGCAACAGACAGCACTCACACAGATACAGGGTGGCATGCAGCACTTGGCTAAACGATACGCAGAAAAGCCAGGATCAACTCCGGATCAGCCTGAGGAGGACCTTCTGGCTGCCTTGCACCGGACGACAGATCTGCGGAGAGACCAAGTCTTCCAAGATAGGGTAGTCGGCAGGTGGCTGATCGAGCAACACAAACCAGGCTCCCGTTCCGGGCTGGCTGGACAGAAAGTTATTGAACCTTGTATAGCATGCTCCCCTAATCCCCATGAAGAGCTTCTGAAGGAGCTCCTTAATACCCCTTTGGGCTTAAGGCAACAGATGGGCAGTGGGCAAATACCGATGCAACCTGGTGTCCGCTCGACTTTACAGGGACAAGAGGCTACTATCGAGAAATCAGCCCCTCCTGGACATGTGAAGGTACGA